ACTTCAACATCAACCTGATACTGGTTCTGGTGCTGTTGAACTTCACTTACTTCAACATTCGTTACCGACTAATTCGCAGCCTCTATCTTCCTTTATGATTGGATGATGATTCGACGGTGATGCAGTTTTTGATTATGATCTGGAACGAGCCCAGGGGCTGCGGGGCACCAGAGAGATTCGATGGAGACTCTTCGAGGCCCAGTTGACAATCGTAAAATGATAAGCTCTAAGGCCGATCTTGGACGCAGAAAATGAAAGTCGAAAGAACACGTTTTCGACACTGCTCAATATTCCAGAGTAATATATTCTGAAATTAAATTTATTTGCTGCGAACTGCATACTTCACGTAATATTCTAAGCAAGGCTGTAGTATGGACAATTTAGCTCATGCATAAGTTTCTTGACTAAAACATACCTTGGGCAGAAAACAAGAACAGCTACTACACCGGGTACTCTTCCTTTACTGTGTTTCTAAACACGTGGGTCGATGAGCAGTCAAGAAGAATGAGGCGCGTGTGGCCTACTTTGTGAAATCAGCACTTCGCGAGAAATGTGAAGTGCTTTCATATCATGGTTGTCTAAATGATATACCAAACTTCACTTTGCCATTTGGCGGGGTATGATCTTTATCATGGAGCTCACACTGTCCTTGACTTTACCGTTGGAAAGTCCGGTGATTAGCTTTCCGTACGATAACAGAGTATTCGTACCCTGAACTGGATTATACTTGGTGTCGTTTTTAGTATTCGACGTACTGACTTATAAGTATTTACGAAGATGACAAGATTTCGTAATAAATAGATGTATAGTACAGGTGGGCTGCTTGATGCACATCAGACAATAGAGAATCTTGATGTATAAGAGATGGTAAACGTACATATTTAGTCCAAACTAATTATATACATAAGCTTGAAATAGCAGTACGAACTATATAACTAGTCACGATTGCGGCCTTGACATTTGATTTTGATTAAACCCTTTACATTTGTTAACATGGATACTTTTGAGTCGGATCTTTCTCTGTGAGATATGCAAGGCAACCCCGTTGCATTGACGGTGGATTCTCCGTCTTGCAAATGTTTTCACATAACTCCGAAAGTTATCCCATCGAATCTACAGAGCTTCTGGTGAAGTTAGTGAGATGGAAGACTGTAGCCCCTAGCACTTTCTGGTCACCCCTTCTCGAGCGAATAATCTCTCGCCACTTGTCTGTGGAGCTTTTCTGCTCCGCACACTTTGGATTTTTGCACGGTAGATTGGACCTAACAATATCGTCGCACTTTGAGTAGGATAAGCCATTCATCGTATCTTTAAGGGCTAAACTCCATCTCCCGCGTCTTGCAGAGGCCCTCCAACTCCGCCTGCTCTGGCACGGGAATCGCAACAAATGTGACTTCTACTCTTAACTGACCCTGACACAGCTGTTCTTAGCCCCCCGGCCAGAAAAACACTATGCAATCCACAACATAAAAGCGTTCTTGCTACTATGATATGGGACCATGGCCTGTACCAACTTCTTCTGTCACCGCTCTGCTCGACGCATCTAGCAATTCCGCTGCTAACAATTCGGGATATCCAAGTTCTGCACTGAAGCTGTCATAGCTTCATAAGCGCGCCAATAGATTTGATATAAAACTCCACCGGGCAAGAAATGCGTAATGTTTACGCACTTCTCTTCTCATTGGGCTCCGATTAGTCATCGATCCACCTCTACCAAATTCTCACTTTTCAACTTCCAGTTGATTTATGGCTCGTTACTTTTAAGCCACATAAAATGAAATTGTATCTAAAATCAACGGCAAAACCTAGACAATTTACACGCGGCCAACTGCCGCTAATCTCACTGAAAGGTTTACAACGTGCTACGCTTTCACGAGTGCAATCATCTCAAAAAGCACTGATAAAGTATTCGTATTCGACATCGTCTATGTCTTTTCGTACTTTTTATTAATCTCGACAGTTTCACGTCGTGTGTAATTACACGACGTTACTAATCCATCGCGACTTTCCACAACTTCGCTTGGCTCGAACATTGAGTTTAAAACGAAGGGTCATGGTCTGTGAGCCTTATCTCACTGAGAGATGACCGCTCCTCTCACGGTGAAGTCTAATGTATCACGACCGCGACTTGGTACAATACAATTACTTCTTTCGTAGTAGGCCGCCCTGCACTTGCTATCACTTGACAGCTTTTTTTCACTCTAGGGGTTTGTCGCCAGCCCTAGTGTGGGAGACTGACCATTCGCACATCTTAGCCAGGAGCGAAAGAGGCATACAAGCATTAATGACTTGAGTTACCGCAGATTAAAGATTTGCAAGTACCGCGAGCTGCTATCCAGCTAAACTACTTTTTGCCTGAGCAAGGCTGAGCTCCATCGCCCCTAGCGGCTTACACTTTCAGTACCCCATCTGGCTCTCGTGATACTAAATTGCAATCCGCATTGAATGGGAAACCGAACGCTAGAGTAGATGCGGAAGGTCTTGATGCGAGTGGCGGCAGTTCGAGAAACCTCCATAAATATGCCTTCGAGTGAGATTCCGACGCCATTGCGGCGACATGGACTCTTACGTCTTGGGCATAGTTCGTCAGTTCTCATATTCCTCGACGGGTGTGCACGAACTCCAAATCTCATCGATAAGAGGTGCGAATTCTCGTAACATCTATTGTTTCCAATATTTCCACGTTTTAAAACGAGATATTTATCTTTTTGCTCGTTTTCGCGCGCGCTTTGTCCTAGGTTAGAGATTGTTAGCACTCCGTTTAGATAAAGGCCAAATCCATGGTCATCTCACTTTTTCCCTTCAAATTCTCTCCGTCCCGGTACTCGAAGGTCTAAACTCCAAACATCACCGGCCTAACGGTAAACCCCATCTAATCATCGACCGGCGCTTGTTGAAGCTCTACTAGACGAGCTTCACCTGTGCGATCTCAGTGCTGGTGAGCGCCTCATAAATTGCGATTACCGCTCCCGGTCTATTGGTCGCTTATTTGCGGGTCCTATTGAGATTCATGATTGTTTAAGCTCATTTGAGCTGGAGATAGGTACCTTGACATTTAATGTTCCATCCTCGCAAATGATAAAATCTTGAAATTGATTTTCTAGTTTAACGAAGTGCTAATTTCGTGCACCGTACACTGCGAAACTTTGACTTAGAGTACTTTTATTAACAAACGCACAGAGAATGGATCCTTGCGCTTCAACTATGGGGGAGAAACGAAGTCACTACCGTAAGTATTATCTAAATAGTTCATCAAATTTTTAATGTACATGTTTGTGAAAATTAATGCTAATTGGACTGATACTAAATGTATGCGCCATACAATGTCTTATTCCTGATGTGCGGCTATCAGCTTATGTGTGTACGGTGTTCCATCATCATTATAAATGCCGATAATTCGGTACTTGAGAATGGTCAATTACACTTAGTGTTAATGTGTTGGAAAGTAATAATTTGAAGAATTGCACCAAATGAAAAAAAGTATCACGGCAAAGTGATCAGGTACTGTGCTTACACCGCTACAAGCTTAGCCAAGACTTAACTACTTTTGAAATGATAAAGCAAACTAAAAAACTTGTAATTACTTCGAGCTCTCGTCTACAATCCTGGTGGCGTGTACGAACCCAACCTCTGTGCGCTTGTTAATGTGGACTGTGTGAGGTATAAGGAAACCCCGTTGCAGTCGGTGACTAAGTGGCAATGGCTTCAGTACAGAATATGATGTGGTACAAATTATTACGTGTGGCTTTTCGTGTGGCTTGTACAAGTTATTTTTTTATTTTGGAATACAATCTCAGCTCTTGCCTTGCTGTGTGCACTGAAGCTTGACTCGTATGCTTGATGTCGTATAAGCCGGAAGGGAATATGTTGGAAACCGTATCCGGACGGCGGTTGAAGTGTCCGTTGGGCAGGGTGGCCCACGCGGAGTGGCCCAGGAGTTTCATGGCGAAGAGTCACGTGCATATGATGCTGTGTTGAGAGCAGGAGTAGGCAGAACCACAGCAATACATTCAATCAGTTCTCAAAAGCTCATCT